CCCATATCCCTTTAAAAACCTCACACCTTAGCCTCTTTCGAACAAACCCGCAATCTCAAATCCTTTACCCCTTATACTTCTTCAAGTATAAAACCCTCCAACTGTAACATATTCGTCCAATTGCTTTGTGATCTTTTGGACAATAGTTTCCCTGTTAGTAGTTGTTAGTTAATCGTGTTTAGTAAAGGTAATCACGGTCAACAATATGAAGAGACTTTGGAATAAAAGATTAGTTCTTTAATAGGAACCTTCACTGATATCCTTATAATCTCTTCTAGGAATATAACAAGTGTACAGAAGTTACAAAAGAAAAGACAAAAACATTTGGCTAAAGCACACGAGTATCATGAAAATGATATTGTATTATTAAATAATTCTATTAAAAAACAAGTGTATGGACAAAAGTTTAATTCTAAATGAACAGAACTACACTGGTCGAAAATTGATAAACCATACACATATCGGATACCCGATATGTGTATGTTTTATCAATTTTTGACCAGTACTATTTTGGATAGAAAAGAAGTTAGGAAATAAGGTTTACCTGATAAGAGTTAAAATTGGTAATACATTACCTAATCCTGTTCATACAGAGAGATTAAAACATTATAAATAAAGACATTTTGTAGAACCTCATGTAATAATCACCTTAAATTAATCAAAGTTTAATTAAACACCTAAACACAAATTTTATTATATAAAGGATTTTATTTCTCTCAAGTTCTGTAAAATTTTACAAATCATGAAACTTTAACTTTTAGAAATTCAATATATTAGGTTATTAGAACTTTATCAAAGTTTACAATTAGATTATACTTCTGTTAATATACAAATGACCTCTACACGAATTATTGTATAAAATAGTTTTCAACAAATTACTTTAACAATTCTTACTCACTATCAACAAACATAATTATAGAATTTCAGCAAACTTATTAATAATGCATGTAATGTTGAAGTTAATCTCAACTTCGAATTATATGATAAAGGAAATATTTTATCTCTTGTAAGTGTTGCCATTAACACTACGAAAACAAATGGACAATGACTTTTTGCATATTCAAAATCCTGATTTTTATTATCAAAAGATTTTGTTAAATAACAATTAATCATGAAATAACTGGGACAAAAAGTCTAGTAAATAACTAGTTATAATGGTACTCAATTTCTAATTGTTAATAATAGAGTACAAAGATTATTATCTCTACTTGGAGAATTTTCCATTTCACAATTTAGATATATTACTTTGAATTGGTTATATCATTTAACTAGTGTAAATTTTAATTATTTTATTTGAAAATGTAAAGAACAAATCTCTCAAAATATGAAGCATTTCACAAGAGCTCAATACTAAAGAGAAAATGTTGTTGAACATTAATTTAGTTTATTATTATTTTATTATTTATTAATGTATTTATTATTTTATATGGTTTATTTATAATTTATATAAATTGTATATCTTGTAACAGGTGGCTCACCAGGTTGACTACCAGGTAGATCACCTAGGTAAATTACCTATTACACATAACAGGTGGATCATCAGGTTAATTATCTCTTGTTAAAATTGGTAAATTATAGTGTACAATAAATTAAAGGAATATAAATATGAGTCTTTTCTAACCTTGGAAAAAAGAAGTTTCTACAGTTTAAGATTAGAACAAAGTTTAAAGTCAAGTTTCCTTTAGTTGATACATTATTTAATTCTCTAATATTTACCTTTACTTTTATAATTTCTATTTTTATATTATATTTTATCTTTATATTTATTATTATATTTATTAATAAAGTTATATCACATTAAATATCTCTATTAAATCTTTGATTTGTTAATTTGTCATGTAATTCTTAATAAAATATGAATTAATCTCATATAAATACTCTTTACTATATACATCTTATTAAGTGAACAAGCTGATTTGATGTGCTAAAACCCCGTACAATAAAAAACTCACCTTGTAATATTCTTTCGAATTTACTATTAAATAATTGAATTGAGTTGATCTTAGTAATTCTCAAGAAATTCTGAGAATTATTTGAATAGTTTAAGTTAGTTTGTTTAAGAATATTAGTTATCCTTCAGATCCTTGTCCATATATAGGTACAACAATACTACATGAGATTACATTTTCAAATTTATTTTTTATCATACTTTTAAATTCTTGTTCCTATATACCAATTGATATATTTCAGAACTTAATTCCTTTTTCATTATTTGTTTTTTTATTTTAGTTGATTGTTGCTTTTGTTAGAGTTGACCTGTTATTTAATTGTATTCTTTCAATTTTGCTTTTATATGTCTTTTTCATATCTTCATTTTTTTTCAAATTTATTATAATATATAGTTTTTTATCTCCCAAACTTTTTTTCAGTTTTGATTGTGATAATATTAATTTCATTTTTATTTAATAGATTTGTTATCATATCAATTTTGTTTTTTTAAGTTTTTTTCATTTTGTAAATTATTTTTTTTTCCATTTCTCATATATACTTAAGAAATTATCTTCTGAGTTTACTGATTCATTATCATCTGTTTTTGTATTTGTAATATTTTACTCATTTGTTTTATTATTTTTTTTTTCTGTTTCAGTGATAATCTCTTTTCCTTTATCTTTTTCATCTTTTTTTGTGTTATCAATTGTTTTCATCATATTATCTGTATTTTCTTCACCTATACTATTTTGATTTAATAATAAATTTTCTTCTATTGGCAATAACTCCATGTTATTTGTATTTGTCTCTATAGTTTTAGTTTCTTTGTTCAAATTGCTTGTGCCTGCTGTTATATTAGCTTTTGATCTATAAGTATTTGCAATAATGTTTTTTGTAACCAGACTGCTTGTTACCTTTGACTTTAGGATTCTTCTGGATGTATCTAACTTGTTAAGTCTAGTTTTATTAATTGTTGTTGACTATCCTAGATGTCTGCTCCCATTTTCCATACTCATTTTTGATTTATTTTGTTGTTTTATTTGTTTTTTTTTATTTATTTTACTAAGAACATCCTTTTCTTGAATATTTTGATATAATTGATTAGTAAAAGAAGTTTATATATTACATGTCATTACATTTATAATTTATATTATTTTGTATAATACAATAATTATTACATATTCATTTAAGGGAGAATCAAAAATAATTAATTTATTTAAAATAGACTCAAATATAATATTAACAATTTGTCTCTATATATTTTTATATACTAAATGATATTTAATTGTTACAGAAATTTTGCAATTAAAAAGAGATAGATTGTGTAGATATATGAATATTTATAATATATTTTGATCTAGGATCTTTGTTATTGCTATCAACAGTTGTTGTAGCCAATATTTTATATGATTTATCAAGTACTCACTTATTCCTATTCATTATTTAACCCTGTTGCAGAGTTTACAGCTTTATTTATATGGCTTGAATTTGTAAATTTTTTTCTCTCTCTTTCTTTATGAAGTATATTTATCATTATTATTTTTTTATTATTTTATTATTATTTTAAAATAATTATTTTTTTATTTTATTTATAGTTATTACTATTGAGATATTTTAAAGGTCCAGGACATTTATTTATATCATTCTAAGTATTTTAAAAACTATTTAGCCATTTTCTGCATTCATATTGATTGTCATATTTGCATTTGGTCACACTATGTAATTATAATACATAATTATAATAATTGCTTATTTTATTTTCATTATTTTAAAATTTTACTAATTTATTTCATTGTTTTTTTTTTAAGCTTGCCTCAAATTTATTGATTAGAAAAAAGCGAAAGTCTTTTACATTACATAAAATCACATAATACAAAATACACAATTTATTCTAATGTTTGTTTGAAAAGATGAGGCTCAGGCTAACTCATATGAGACATGTCTGCAACCTACCATCTGACAAGTAAACTTGCCCACTAATTTATTTTATTGTATTTCATTTTATTATTAAATTTTATTATTATGATCTTCTTCAGGTTCCTTCTTCTTGATTATGTATGATTCAAGTTTACAAATAACAACTTATAAAATTAAAGACACTTTGAATCCAGACTTATACTCTATAAATTCAATTTTTAGGATTTTGATAAACCTTTCCAATTTGATAACTATGTTTCATATTTCATCTCATCAATAGAATCTGTATTTTTTTGGATCAATGGACAATGGAATCAATTAGACCAATTACCTAGTTATAATGTAGTTATAATTAGCATACCAGGAAGCATAATATTGGTAATAATTTTTCAAAATATGTTGATTGCATTTATGAAGTAAGTATTACTATTATTTAATTATTTATTTTTATTATTTTTTTTATAAATTATAAATTGGGTATATTGTAAAAGTTGGTAAAAAATTTTTGATTATGATTTTTTTAATTCTCTTAATTCTACATTGGTGCATAAGTGAAGAAAGTCATATAACAGCTCATAAATATCATGCTGAACTTGTTGCTGAATTTGAAGCTTTAGAAAAACCTCTTGATAGTAAAAAAGGTTTTCCTCAATACATTTATTATATACCTGATCTTGATGTAATTGATAACTGGCTTACGGAAACTAAAAAAATTGAAAAACAAAAAAAAGCATCTTATGAATGAGAATTTAGTTGAAGCTGAACTAACAGATTTAACAGATTTAACAGATTTCGAGAGTAGCAATAATGGTGATGATAAAAATCAAGGTAATTGATAATAAGACTATTCTCTTGCAAAAACATTTTCAATTCTAAAATGAATTAAATTCATTCATTCAAATCTTTGTTATAAATATTAGATAGTTCATCCAATTCAAAAAAATATCAACATATAAAAAATCAAGATTCTGAAAGTACTATGAATTTAGATTTTATTGACAAAATTGTCAAAATTACATTCACTGATGAAGAAATTTCGTTACTTTTTCTGAATCCAAAAAGAAATCGCAAAAATCAAACAGCAAATTATTAAAGAATAATGATTCAGATACAAAAGTTGATGATTCAGAAAGATTTAATAACCTGGAGATAAGATTTAATAATCTGGAGACAAGATTAGAACAAAATTTAAAAACTATATTGAAAACTTTAAATAGCCTAAATAATGATGTTTAATGATGTTTGGGAAATATTATCATTATTATTATTATTACACTTTTTTTTTGTTAAATTTTATTTTAAATTACTATTTATTTATTTATGCATTTATTTATGTATTTATAATAAAAAATTTAAATACCAAATTAAACAAAATTTATTATCTTCAAATGAATATTCAAAAATCATTATTTATCAATAGATATTTTAAACCATTCTTAGGAGAATAAGTTCAATAAATGCACAGTTTATCTTCTTTAATATTATCATTCATTACCTATTTATTAAAGCGGTCAAACAGGAGGTCGGATCAAGAGAAAAATACGACTCCATAATAATGTAACATTGATTTACGTAATTTAAAATTAGAAACCTTTACATAAAATTTAATTTAGTCGGAAAATAAAAATTATAATAAAATTGATTAATATTATAAACTGAAAATAAATTCATTCTTGTCAATTATATTATTCTTTTGCATTTAAAACTCTTTAATGTCTTTTCTTTTTTGGTTGTATTACTTTATTTTATTTTAATTTGCGATTTATTCAATAAATTTATTTTAATATAATTATAAATAAAAAATAAATAAATTAATTAATAATTATATTTAGATATGTATACAATTCAATGGGGGGGGGGGTAAATCTAAATAAAGAAACTTTGAAATAATAAAATCGCCAGAACTAATTATTCCACCCTTATATTATCAAACTACTGTATTACTAATGAGAAATTTCATCATACAAATCTGAAAAATTATATTTTAAGTAGGGTGATGAAGAATTTTTGATTATATTTATCCATGCAATTTAAAAGTTTGATTTTGGCAATGCATTATTTTTAGAAGTGAATTAAAAACCGAGAAAAGATGAATTGCAGAGTTAGTCGCTCATATATAAACCAATTCGTTCTGATGAATTCGCAGTACCCAGATGCCTCTTTTAGATAAAGTTTTTTTAAAGTTTTATCAAGAAATAATTGTATTCTTTTTCGTACAATAATACAGATAAGCATTTGAAAATTTTTATTTATGAGTGCTGCCTGAAGAAGTCACCGGAATTACGGCACGCCGAAGTGCCGAAATATTTTCGGCAGCCGAAGATAATTACGGCAACCGAAATTTTAATGCAAAAACAATTAAGGCATCATCTATAGTTAGTTATGAGGTTCTTTCCTTATAAAAAGTTCTTTAAAGTTTATCTTAGAAATTGGTACTGTGGGCCGGTGGCCGAGTATTTATTATGTACTGTATTTCATACCTGTTTTCGTTCTTGGATTTGATTTTGGAGTATTTTATATCGATATAAAGTTATGAAGTGATTTTTTTTTAACCCAATTTAGATTTTTTGTATTAATAATTAATAATTTTGGATTATCAAATCAGATTAATCAAAAAAATATAAATTTGAAATTTAAATAAAATGTAGATAGACGAAGATATCTTTTTAATTTGGTCAATTTTATCCATTATATAGTAAAATCTTTTAACTATAAAAAAAGATAAATGTCTAAAATAAAGAAAGCACATTCACAAGTAGAATCAAAAATACATTGCATAGAATTAACAAGGATTGATGCCCAAGTATTTTTATTAATTAAAGATCAAAGGACACAAAATTGGGCAACAACTTCATGTTCTACCGAAGTAATTAAAGATCGTTCAAATCCTCATTTTGTCAAAAGTATGTTAGTAGATTATTACTTTGAAGAATTACAAGAATTGAGGTAAATTTAATTTTTATATAACTTCATATAATTGATGTTTATATAACATATTGATATTATAATACATAATTTACATATTAATATAATAAATTAGATTTATAGTAGTTCACGTAAATAAACCAAATCAAAAAGATTGGAAACAACAAGAATTAATTGGACAATTTGAATATGATCTTGGATCTCTAAGTATATTATTTTATTATTATATTATATTATTATTCATTTCATATATTTTTATGTTATTAATTAACAATAAATAATAGTGGGATGTCAAGGAAGAAAAATCCAAGGAAATTTATATGATCCAAAAAATCCATTAAAGGAATGTGGATACATCATAATATTAGCCGAAGAATTTGTTCAATCTAAAAGAATTGTAAAATTACAACTTCAAGCTAATCAAATGACAGCTAAAGGATGCTTTAAAAATTTTAAAAAGAAACCAGATTTATATTTTAGAATAAGTCGAGCTAATGAAGATAATACATTTTCACCAGTTTATGAATCTATTTCTATTGTTTCTGAAAATCCATTTTGGCCAGAATTCGAAAGTATGCAATTATCATATATATGTTTTTCGTGTCGAGTTGAAATATTATAGAATGATAAGAGAGTTAATTGAATTGATATATATATTTATATACTTTTAGTTCCAGAAAATACATTATGTAACGGAGATGAACATTAGAGCATTATTGATTGAAGTAAAAAATAAAAGGAAATCTTGTAAGTTGATATCACCAATTCTCAATTATCAATTAACAATTATATTATCAATTAAATTATTAAATATTAATATAGCACGACCAATACTTGGACGTTGTACATTATCGCTTAATGAAT